TTGGTATGTGTTTTGTAAGATCCCAAAGCAGTATTCCAAAATTTTGGAATAGAGGGGATATTTAGATTTTGGAGTTTCTTTGATTTCATCACAACTTAGAATCTAGAGGTAGTTTTTTTTTTCAATGTTAACAATTTCCATTTCTGAAATGGCTACAAAAACCACATCAACATGTGGACTATTTTAAGATGGGCGTGGATTTCCATACCCTTATCCTATTACAACATAGCCACAAATCCTGAACTCTAGGCTTATTTGCAGACCCAAAAGGGCTATATTCATGTTTATTTATAATATGAAACTTTTCTTGGAATAAAATCCTCTCTTCACATCTCATAATTTCAAATAAAACTAGCATAAGAGGACATTTACAAAGGGCATGCCACCAGGATTTACAATACAAACTTGTTTATATTCAGTGTTGCTTTTGAAAGTTAAGAAAATGGAATCCAAGAAAGAAATCGACCTCAAGGAAGCCACCTTGTCAAATTAGTGGACAACCATTATATTTTCTTCTTGGTTTACTGCTTTGTATTTGATAATTCTCTATTTTTATATGTATTTTCTTTTATTTGTACTAGAATATAGTGGGAATGATCATATTTTTTGGATTTGGATCTGATTAGATTATTTTTACTAGTCAAATCCCAATTTGCTGAAACCATAATTTCACAAATAGGAAGTAATATGACATTTAAAGGTGCAATAAAAAATTTGAGACTGGACTAATAATCAAAAAAAGGAAAAAAAAAAAAGAACTGGAGACTATGATTAACCCAAAATGTTTCAGGTGGAAATAGAAATGATACCAAACACAACTTTTGCTCACATCATTCGTTGTTCATTTTTGGTTCCAATAAAACTGATATTACTTGTACAATATATCATGTACAAATTGGGATTCTTATCAACAAAGTTGATAATGATGGAAAGAAAGAATTGCATTCTGTATGAGAAAACAAAAACAAAAAATGATATTCTGATCCCTCTTCACACACCTACTCACAGCTTTTGTTTGTTTGGAAACTGAGTGTATGTGACCATCCAATTGTAAAAAGCATGGCATCGGGAAATATAATCGCCACCCCCTCTTCTTTCTACATCCATTGCACTAAAGATGGCACTAATATAACATAACCAAAGGACAAGCCACAATCTATGGATCTCTCTCAAGCAATTACTACATTGTTGATCATGCAATAGGAGATCCCTTTATAAATGCCATGAAAAATGGAAATTGTGAATCCCCATTACTCCAATAGAGAAGGTAGGTCATAACCCGAATCAATCGGAAATGGACCCACCAAATGACCAGATTAGTTCCCCTTTCTACCACTACTCAATCTGGAAAGGATAGACTCATATGGAGGTTTACACCTTACAAAAAATATACCTGCAACTCGGGCTATAAATTGATGACAGAGGGGGGTGAATCATCCACAATAGAATGGATTTGCAAAGGTCTCAYCCAGAAAAAATTTTGAGGAATCAAACCTATAATTCTTTGCATTAAAACCTTCATTTGGAGATGCTCTATGAATGCCATCCTAGTTGGTACCAAAATAGATAAGAGATGTCCCTCAATTGATCCTATTTGTAGACTTTGGTTGGCAAACTCTGAAACAGTTGGTCCTATTTGGCTTGCTTCTTCTATGAGTGTTAGGCCAATGGTGAACAATAATGGAGATCTAAAACAATGGCTTGAAGAATAGATGCAGGTGGATATTGTCAATGGTTCTAGGGCTAGCAATTTTGACCCCAACCCACTTAATCCACCCACTTGATAATAGGAATGGCAATGGAGAGTCACTCCCATCCCCATCCCCACTAACAGGGACAAGGTTATCCCCACTCCCATCCCCATCCTCGCTAACGGGGACAAGGTTATTCCCATCCCCGTCCCGCCAGGAATGTTAACCATTTTGTTTTTGTTTTTTATTTTATTTAATACCATTCAATATCCAAAATCCCCATCCACATCTCCTCTAACGGGAACAACGCTATCCCCATCCTCGTCCCCGTCCCCGCTAACGGGGACAAGGTTCTCCGTGATTTTTTATAATGTTAACCATTTTGTTTTTGTTTTTTATTTTATTTAAAAAATAAAAATAAAATAATTAAAATTTACAATCCTATTAGAAAAGATTCAAACATATTCAACCATATTTTTAAAAATATTAATATATAGATTATGTGTACATATATACATATATAACGTATGCATACATATATACATATATATCAGTGCGGATCCCACGGGCGGGAATCGAGGTCCCCGTGGAGCGGGGAGTGCTCTCCCCATTCCCAACCCATCCCCGTCGCTGCCCCATTCGGGGCGGATCCCCACAGGAATCTGGGAAATGGGGAAAATTGCCATCCCTACTTTATAACCCACCCATTTGAATAATGGGTCAATATGGTTTGAATGACCCATAAGGGTCAAGAAAAAAGGGTTAGGGTTGATTAGGTCAAGGGTTACCCATCAACCCTCTCTTTAGCCTTAGATTTATTCTCCTAAGACCCTCCCTCTCCCTCTCTTTCTCTTTCATGTTGCCACCACAAGTCACCCCTCTCTTCTTCCCTCTCACCCAAGAAGCTAATTGACTCTCTCTCTCTCTCTCTCATGTTGCTAGTCACCCCTCCTTTTCTCTCTCTCACCCAAATCTCTGTTTGAAGATGATCACGACACCATCTCTTTCTCTCTCATGTCATCGGTCACCCTTCTCTACTTCTCTTGCCTAGATCTTCATTTAAAACCAACCGCTATCGATTCCTCAGATCTATGAAAGGTGGATGCTGCACCGCCCCTCTTAGATCTTGAAGTTGGTTGTCACACCGACTCCTCGTATCTATGGAAGGTGGACACTACACCACCTCTCTCTCTCTCTCTCTCTCTCTCTCTGATGTTGAAGTTGGTCGCCACACCACCACCACCCTTTCTCTCTCTACCACTCAAATCTCCTATTTGAATATAGCCACCACACTGCCACTCCCTCTTCCTCAGTCAAATCTCCAGATTGAAGATTTGGATCCCTATGATTAGAGATTTCAGCCACTAGTATTTTGAAATTGTAAACTTTGCAAATTGAATCTAGAATGTAAATTTTACATCATTTATGCAAAAATATTTTTCTAAATTTTTATCTCATTGTCTGAGGTATTTTTTGAAATTTTGGTGCAATATTCGTTGGATGCAATGTTTAGCTTTTGTTTAAATTTTTTTGAAAAAAATTACCATTTTATTAGTTTACCTACAATTTTTATTTTTCTAATAAGCATTTTTTTGTAGTTTCTGATTTTGATCGAAATATCTTTTATGAAAAAATTATCATTTCCTTGTTTTTCTACATTTCTTTTACTTTTTTGATATGATATATAAATTTTTGAATATTTTATCATTTTATGTATTGTTGCAATTTCTGTTTTTATCCAATTTTATATTTTTCTAAGTTATTTTTGCCTTTTCCAATTTTCTTGTATTTGTTTTGCAATTTCTGATGTTTTACATGAAATATATGCAGTTTTATCATTTTTCTGTGTTCCTATGTATTTTATATTTAAAAATGTTTTTTGAACTTTATATATATAGTGCATGTGTATAAGTGTATTTATATTTTTTCTGAAAATTTTTACATTTTTTAATTTTTTCTAATTTTTCTGTAATTTTTATAAAATTTCTGGTGTTTTACATGAAATATATATTATTTATCGTTTTCTATGTTTTTTATAGGTTTTTTATTTTTTAATTGAAAATTTGGAACTTTTTATATTCTTTTATTCTATGTTTTTACACAATTAAAATAGAGAAAAATAAAAAAGTCTAATTTAAATTAAGATGGTCAAATGGGTGGGTTAGGGTGGGTCACAACCGACTCTGACCCACAAACATGGATGGCAAATGGGTTAGCGGGTCAATATGAGTGGATTGGTACTCAACCCTCACCCAACCTAACCCAACGCACCCATTTGCCGCCCCTACATGATTCATATATGCTCACTCCTATATTTGTCCATGGAGTGGGGTTTATGTGATATATTTAGAAAGCGAGAATTAAACCTAGTATAATTTTTGAAGATATGAACTTCTCTCCATTAAGTGTGATTAATTCTGGCAAGGCACATATTGAAAATTTGTTGGAAGACTGGAAATAATGAGCATAATGAAACTGGGCCTAATCCAAATCCTACATATCAAACTCCTCCTCATTGGATTAAACCCACTCCTTTGGTGCATGGTCACCTCAAAAAGCTACAGTGGAAATGAATCATCGTTAGAGATCACAATGGCTGTTTCATTGTTGCCCCCCATCTTTTGCTCCACATAGGAGGAATTTGAGGCCATGCATTGCGGTGGTGCAAGGTCTGAGACTTGCCGATTACATGTCGATGGAGGCTATCCAACTAGAGAGCGATGCTAAGGCTGTCATTGAAGCAATTTATTCTCCATGGAGAATCCACACCAATATTGTTGATTGCCACAATCTTTGCTCTTCATTCTCACAGTGCAACTTGTTTGTTGCATCTCAATTGTGTAATGGAGTAACCCATAGGTTAGCTCGGTTTGCTATTTTTGTTGAATGAAATTCTGCCTTTTAATACAATTAAGGGGTGGTCTGATAACATCCAAAGTGGCTCAACTGACATATATATATTTGTTAATTTCGTCTTTTGGCAAATAAGTTATTCTAGGTTGAAAGCTTTTCTTAATGGCTGAGGCTGAAGTTGGATTGATCATTACGCCATTAAATTATTATGTTCAATGTAAAGCAAAGCAATACGTCGTTCAGTTCAGCCATTATCAAACATCTCCTAAAAGCAAATGGGTATGTGGAAGAGAGAGAGAGAGAGATCTTCAAGCAACTTATAATTTATTTCTGATCCATTTGATTAGAATGAGCACAAAGACAAGAGTATTAGCTAGTGATCTAAGCTCCATCCTCCATGGCTCGCTCACAAACCAAGAGATAAAAATATTTGTCTGGATGGATCACTTAATTAATTCAAGGGCACTTGGGCGTGCCTCTCTGTGTTTTCCAATTGTTGTAGCATGGGCATTCCCCCTTGTGCCCGTATGTGCCAGACGGAACGCAGAGACACTTATCGCAGCACATATTGCAGAAGAATAAGCAAGGCTTCTTGTGAGATGTCGCTGAACATCTACGAGCACACTCTTTTGGGCAATCTGCCAAACAGATGTAGAGAATGATTAATTCTTTCATTCGGAGGACAAATAATCTATTTAACTTTGCATGCATCCATCTTATTTGTCCAGCAATAACATATAGATCAAGGACTCAAATGGGCAATAGGGCTGCACATCATTTTTAATTCAAATTCAATCCCATCAAGGGCAATCCAGATCAGTCCGTCTATAAATGGATCAAATATGGATCCAACACTATCTAATTCAATAAAATCCAATTTCATTTCATTTATAGTTTTACTAAGATATGTTTAAGTTTTATATTTCAAATTCACTTTGTTCATTAAATACAATATCACAGTTTAAAATATTTTGAACACTTTTAGTTTAATTTCTTAATACCATTCAATATCCAATTGCTATCCGAATTTGATTCAAAATGTAATAAAAATAAAATGTTCAGCCTAGGCCCAAGACATGTTTACCATTCCATTAAATACAAATTGATAAATGAGAAATTAATGAAGAGAAATGGAGTCCTTTACCTTCTCTGCGAACGGAACCTTCTGCTCCTTCCTGTTAAGTTATGCAACAATCAAATATCACAAAATCATAAAAACACTAGCCACATTCTGTGCACAAGATACTACAACCGCACATCAGGAAGATCTTCTCATGAATTATGACATCAAGTACAAGAGATATTCCGAATGTGCGGGCTATATAGAGTCTTGTAGCCAGTGAGTTCATGTCTATTAATAAGTTTACGACTCATTAATACAAAAAATATTTAATTCTAAGGAAAAAATAAATTCTTACAGGATGGTAAGTAGTGTTTTGACCATTATCAACTGGTTCAGCCTGAAAGAGAAGATAAGAAGAAACCTCCATGACATGGTCTAATATTAGCAAATCATAGAAAAAATTGAGAGAGAGAGAGAGAGAGAGAGAGAGAGAGAGACCAATGAAACCTCCATGACAAACATCAAGGCAAGGAAGATAAGAAGAAAGACAGATGAAGGTCTTGAGGACTTGGCCATAATCTTCTCCTTGGAGACCCTGCAATTACAATGTAGAACACAAGAAGCACTTCAGCGGTAATGGTTTGGTCTACTTAACACAATGCGTACTTGCTTATATAGTTGGTGAGCAACTGAGCAACCATGAATTTTCTCTTTTAACGTGTATTAAAATCTCACAGCTGAAATCATGGTCTCATTAATTAATAACTTTTCCCTATTTATGGTAAGTAAAGCAGAGCGTATTAAAGTTTGTATCTGTTAATTCCTTTATTATAATGCCCATTGCTGGTTACCCAATAAGGACCTTCCATATTTCCCAATTTTTTTAAAGAAACTTCCCACGTGCAACCAGAAGCAGAGGGCACTAAACCCTCCGTTACCACTGTCTTTATTGAACAATAATTCTTCCCTTAACTTTATGCTGTGTTTGGTTTGAAGGAAAAGAAAGGGAAGGAAGCTAGGGTCTTTTTCTTTCAAACCAAACACAGTTTTATAACAATGTTTAAAACCAAACACAATCTTTGGTTGTTTGGCAGCTTCCTACACATGACATAGCATGACGAATAGGGGTGTCAATTGGACTGGATTTGGTCCAATCCGATCCAATCCAATGAGAGTCCATTATAAATGGACCAGGTCCAATCCAATCCAATGAATGTTTTAGATCAATTTGGACCGGTCCAATTCAATGTCTGGATCATTCAATATATGGCAGCTTTCCTATCTTATATCAATGAATCAGATATTGGCTTAATCAAACCCAATCCAATATAAATTTGTTACGGATGGATCAGGTCCTATGCAATCTAATAAATATTTTAAACTGGATTGGTTCAATCCAATATGTCTTATCGGTCCATCCAATCCATCCAAATTGATTTTGGACTGGATGGGGTCCAGTCCAAAACCGGTCCATTAACACCCTTACATGACATTTGTTACCATGGATGTGAGGTAAAAGAGTATTTGCATTGCAATAATATCTTCTCAAGCCAAAAGAGTAAGGCTGCGTTTGGAAAAGATGCAAATGGAGTGTAAATCCCAGTTCAGGGTAAATTTGCACTCTGGTTCACTTTTGCTTGTGTTTAGCAACATTACATTTTTGCATTGACAAATGACAGACCAATGCATATTTACATTGATAATAAGATGTAAAAGTACATCAATAAAAAAGAAGTAAATTTGCATTCAAGTGGGCTTTTGATAAAAAAAAAATATTTGTTTTATTGGAATTCGTATTTGCATCCATTACAGTTAAAAGTCTGTTTGGTAAGAAGGTAAATTTGTCAGTACAAAACTAACCCAACTTTACAATTTATATGAACCATTTTACACTACATATTTGCATTCACACTTATTTGCATCGTTTCCAAACGCAGCCTAAAAAGGAATTGAGTGGGTAATTAAGGTTTAGTGCAGGGAAAGCTCCCAAACAGCTAGAGCTATTTTCTCCGAACCCAAAGATTTTTTTCTTTTTTAAGCCCAAACACCTCTCTTCTCCTTTTCATGTTTTTTTCTAGCTGTGTTGATTACATTGAGGGGTTCATCTTCACCATGTTTGCTCTTTTCTAAAAACTTATTAGTTGGGACCCATGCTACACGGGTTTTGTTAAGTGAAATTGAAGTATAAGGAGCCATATAACATTATTCTCAAGTATATGCCGATGTAGTCCATGTTCAACCCAAACCATAAATCTATTAATGTTTGGTTTTACCAACTTTTAAATGGATTAAAAATATTGAAAACAAAATTTAAAACAAATAAATTTGTATTATTTTTGCTTATTTTTTAATATTATTAGACAATTTTGTATTAATTTTTAGATGGATTTTGAATGCATATATAATATATATATATATATATATATATATATATATATATTAATTTTAAGATATTTTATTATTTTATTAATTTGGATTACTTTTATCTCCAAATTAAATGGATTTAAAATTATAATTTTATCATTGATAACAATTAATAATTTTTTATTATATTTAAGTAATTTCTTAAATTAATTTTACTATATTTAATTAATTTTTAATATTTTTAAATGGAATGCAAATGGATTTCTTTTATTTTTGTGATGTTTTATTTGTACTATTTAATTATATATTTTCTATTGAATAATATTAAATTGTGACTATTTTTATTATATAAAGTTAATTTTTTGTTAATAAGTATACATTTTTATTAAATAGTATTCCATTTATATTAATAATTATAATTAAATGGAAGTATGTTAAGTAGATTTTAGAATATAATTTTTAAGTTTACTAATAATTATAGTATTTCTTTTAAAATGGAAATTAAATGGGTTATGATTATGAATAAACGAAATTTAGCATTTCAACTATTAATTATTTTATTGTTAAATTATGTACATTATATTTATTCTAAAACGGAATTAACTTAATTAATTAGCTCAAAAAATAAATGGAAATAGATTATGTAGCCTATAATCTACCATTTAATGWTAAATGGGATATAAATTACAGTTAAATAGAATTTAATCTTTTGTCATGAAATATATAATAATTATAATTAAGTTAATTGGTTTAATTTAATTTAATTAATTACTAATCGGAACCCGTGCAATTTTGAATGCATATATATTATTTTTTAGGGGTTCAGGTAGTAAATTAAGCAAAAATTGGGAGATTATAAGGTCCAAAAACCGCTCTCTTTCAAATCAGCTCCTAAAGGAAGCCCAAGATAAGATAGAGGCCAAGAAGCAACCCGACACCTCAAACATTCTACCATAGACTTAATAACACCATCATCCAAGTTATCCCTACCACACTGCTCTTTTCCATATTTATTTTCATGTTTGAGACCCTCTCAAAGTAATCAAGCAAATTTTTGAGATTCCTCACTTTCCTTATGTCAACCCCTCACTAAAAATAATAATGTCATCCATAAATTGGAGATGGGTCACTGGTACTTTATTCCGTCCTAGTCTTCATCCTCTTATCAACCTTTGAGAGTTGCCTACTAAAAACATCTACTATAAGGGTAAAGATAAAGGGAGAGAGGGATCTCCCTACCTTAATCCTTTGAAAGCTATAAAGAAGTCCTTAACGACACTATTTACCAACACTAAAAAGTAAGTAAAGCTAATGCAGCCCTTCACCCAATTACACCACCTATCCCCCAAACCACAATTCCTCAAGACCTCCAAAAGGAAACCCCAGTCCATTAAGTCATAAGCCTTTTCAATGTCCAATTTATAAACAACACCTTATTGATATGTCCTCGTATCTTCCACATATACATTGACTATGAGTATTTGATCAGCTATTTATCTTGCACAAAGGCCCCTTGAGCTTGACTTATTAGAAGAGATAGTACTACTTTTAGCCTCATAGACAATGTCTTTGCCAAAATTTAGTAGATACTCATCACCAAATTAATCGGTCTAAAATCTTTTGAGTGACTCGCATCTAACTTTTTAGGAATTAAGGCTAAGAAAGTGGCATTGACTCCCCAACTCACTTGATGTCTATCAACAAACTCCTTAAAGACCCCAAGTAGGTATTCTTTAATGACCACCTCCCAACAATCTTGATAAAAGGCCATTATTAAAACTTTTGATCTGTCCATCATGAACACTATCCGTCTAATTTCCTCCTCATCAAACTTCCTTTCCAGCCAATTCAGACTTTCCTCACTTAAATGCTTATGGATGGTTTTTTCAAGCTAGCATTTTCTAAAATGATTAGACTAAGGTACCAATATAAAATTGTTAATAATTTATGAGAACCCCCTGCTAAAACAAGGTCATTGTGTTCATTATGTAAGGTATCGTTACATGGAATTATTGTCACAGATCCAAATGATATATTGCCAAAGGGAAAGTAACCATGAGTGTTGGATTGCATAGCTTAATTGCATTGAAGAGGAAAGCTAGAATCAGAATGGTCCAACTGTTTGATTAGACAAAATTGGAATATTCAAGTCCTATTTTTGGTGGAATGGTATTCTCCCATTTGAAGGAATGAACCCTCCCCCTCCCTTAGGGATGAGAATCCATTCCAGCCGATTCCAATTCAGATTCCCATCTGAACCAAATAGCCGGGGAATAGACCATTTTAATTCTGATTCCGATACTGACTGCAAGCGAAATGGAGCCCTAGTGTTTAATTAAGAAACTAATCCAGTCACTTGAGTAATCAGGCTTGCCCTCCCTCATTCTGTAAGCAGCTTCTGTCCATGTTTCCTGCAACTTGATTAGTCAGGCTTCTCCTACTTCACTTTGTAACATGCTTCCTACAGCTTGACAAGGAATTCCCTCATGAATGGTGTATTAATCCCATAAGTAATTTGCAATATATCTCAGCCTTGGTTATTATCCTACCTAAAGAACGGAGGAACCACTCCCATCACCAATGCACAATCCACCACACAAACAAGCATCCAAATATACTCAATCCTAAAATTATGGGAGCACGATACAAAATTATCTACAAAATCTTCTTTATAAGGTCCTAACTAAAACGACATTGACAAAATTTCTCCAATTTCTCATAGAATCTATTAAAGATAAAAAATTGCAGACTATTTCAATGCAATAGCAGATGGCACAAAAACTTGATATTTACTTCCTCCTCTAGCATGGCAATCATGTGAATATGTGTTATAAATTTCCTACCCCTGAATCAGATGGTTACTTGTAATTCTAGCTATGTAAGAATTTTGTCGGTGGGCATAGAAGAATACATAATAACATTCCAATCATTTTGGTTGATACTAAAGATGGAAAGTAATGGATTACAAATCCTTGTGAACGTGGGAACTCAGCCCGCAAAGATACTTTACTGATTTAGACCCAACTTCTTCAAAATGTTAAGCATATCCAATTCGTTATAGTTAAAAAATCTCTGGTTTACCCTTTTCCATAAGCACCACAGGAATCCAAAAATGCAGTAGTCATGCGGGGTACTAACTTCAATGGTAAAGGAACTTATCAAATGTATCATTTCTTTTTTTAAGGGCTACACAATGGGGGGTAGCCCATCACCCAACCCATATCCCCGCCCCCAACCC